AAAACTATTTTTATTATTTTACACGAATAAAACTGTACACGTAAAGAACTATTTTTTACGCGTATAAAACTATTTGTTACTGGTAGAAAACTATTTTTTACGCGTATAAAACTATTTTTTACGCGTATAAAACTATTTGTTACGTGTAAAAATCTATTTGTTATACGTAAAAACTATTTTTTTAGGCGTCAGAAACTTATTGTTTCTGGTAGAAAACCTTTCTTACGCAAAAAAAATATTTTTTACGTATAAAAAACTATTTGTTACATGTAAAAAACTAATTTTTACGCGTCAAAAACTTATTGTTTCTGGTAAGAAAACTTTTTTACACAAAAAAAATATTTTTTACGTGTAAAAAACTATTTGTTACACGTAAAAAACTAATTTTTACGCGTCAAAACGGTAATGGTGTGGATCCGGTGGCTGACCTTGAAACGAGTGTTTGCTGCATATAGTCACAGACACTACGCATGCGCACATCTTCGATGTTGCCAGTTTGCAAGTTATTTTGGAATTATTTTCAGTAGAAAACAAATATGTGCTTTTCAGTGTTTTTTTGTCAATATATACCGTATGATCGAAAAAACGGCGTCCAGTTGGCTGGGAAATGACGATTGAGGACATTTCCCATATAAAATGACAGCGATCTTCATTTCATAGTCATCGCTGACGCTATTTTTTTCAATCATAGTACGCGGTATATTATTTATATTATTATTTTAATATTTCGCACAACACTTGAACGCTTATTATGTATTTTCATAGTCAATAAAATTAAATAGAAATAAAACTCTAGATTCCTATAATTAATCTAATTGCTCTAGATTATTATGCTACGTTTAAAAAGGGCTTTATTAAAAATTCGGGAAATTAAAAGGGATGTGTCCAAGTTTTTTCTTTTTTTTTTAATTTTTAAATGCTGTAGCTCCATGTCATGTCCATAATAGTTTTTTTTAACATTCCATCAAAACTACGGAGGTCTTAAAAGGCCTTTTAGCCTCCGTAATTAAAATTGTAGAATCAGCTTCAGCAACATTAACAATTACCTTGTTTAACTCTGCTTATACATATATTGCATTAATTTTTCTCCACCTACCACCTTAAGATTTCTCTATTCTTACACCTAATTTATGTGATTTTCTTAGCATATATGATTTATAAACCATATTTTTCCTAATGGAAGGATGGAATAGGATATGCAAAATTAAGATATTTTAACATTTATTTTCCAGACAAAGCATAATATAGTATTAAGTAAGACAAAAAGTATTATAAGAAAGATGTTAATGACACACTCACAAACTAACTAAGTCTTAATTTGGTCTTGTATAAACACAGATATAAAACTAATAAGATCAAAACTCAACTTTCACCATATTGTGAAGATTTGGCATTATAGGAAACAAGAAATTACAGTAAATTAAGAAAAGAATATCAAAGTGCACGATATTAAATACTGTAATATATTTTACGACACAAACTATCTCCCTTCTAAAGAGAAAAAGATAAAACATAAGTCTTATCACCACACTCTTCGATAAAATATATGTCTAAAATTGCTATTAATCCACTAACTTGATATTTTTAAGAAATTATGATACAAACATTATAATCAAAGTATATTATATTAGTAACATTATAAGTAAATGTTACCTCTATCTCCCATTGACGTGTATTGTTCTATATAAGACTCGTCATGGTAGTACTTAGTACTTCATAATACATCGATACATATAATCAAAACTATTGTTGCCTGTAAATAACTAGAAATTAAATAACTTGAAAGAAATCAAATAATTCTAATAAGTTTAAAACCATTAAGAAAAAATCCGTAAATGATAATTTTTAATTCTAATGTAAATATATAAATAAATGTTATTATTATTACAATTTTATATATTCAATTTTATATATCATTCCTTAATTTTGGATATCAAGATAAATCTGAAATTATAAAATTAATTATAGAATATGTATTATTATTGATTAACACTCAAAAAAAAAATTTCAACTGCAAATAATTCGAAAATAAACTGCAATTTGGCAACATCGACGATGTGCGCTTGCGTAGTATCGATGATCAAATGCAGCAAATATGGGCTTCAAGGTCAGCCACCGGATCCACACCTTTACCGTCAAAACTTATTGTTTCTAGTAAAAAACTCTTTTACCCCAAAAAAAAAATTACGTGTGAAAAATTATTTGTTACACGTAAAAAACTATTTTTTACGCGTCAAAAACTATTTGTTTCTGTTAAAAAAACTTTTTTTCCGCAGAAAAAACACTTTTTTTACGCGTAAGAAAATATTCCTTTAATTTATTACTTTTTCAACATAAACATTTCCTTCAAATTTTTGAATTTAATAGAATCTTCGTAAACAGTAGATATTCTTTATAAAAATATTTTTAGATAATACCCTAAAATGAAAAAAATACATACTATTTAATTTATTTTTATTGTATTATTAAATATAACGTCCGCCTATGACGGGGTCTCATCTTAGAAAACGCTAAAGACGCTACAGAAAACAAACTGATTTGTTTTCATTTGCGTTTTTTGCTAGACACTCCGACCGCTACACGCTTTTGGTGTGGCCACTCCTATATAATACTGTTATTTTGTTTTAGTCGCTAAAGACTCTTCACGCTAAAAACGCAAAAAACGCTTTCTGTGTGGCCGTGGACTTAGGCATTGGTGGAAAATCACGGACGAGAGAACTGAAATTACTGGGAAAAAAAAGAATATGACAGTTCTAGAATGGAAATTTCTCGAAACATCCGTTACCGTATATTGGGGTCCTCCATTCGCGAATTTCAAGTTCCTGTGCGCGATAGACTGGTGCCTCCAATAGGAAGGTGCTTGGGGGAAAGGGGATCTCGGCGCGGAATAGTTCTGAACTTTATGACTCAATTGAATGGAGGGAGAGTATCGCGTTCTTGAACAGTTCAGAGCTGCACAACTGCGTGAATGGAGGACAGTATCAGGGCCATGTAAGTGAAATATTAAAAATGGTTCCAGCAAAAGTTTACCAATTATGACGGATGATGGCGCTGATCCTCAAAATTTTTGGACAGGGATTTTGCTTACCGACAATACGACGTGAGCTACGACCGGACCAGGACCAATCAGAATGATCAGTCTTTCTTGGACATTTGCCGCGGAAGTCTGTGTTAATTTCTGTTGTGATAAGTGTGGTTGTGTTTGCAGTTTGATTTTTCGGTTTTGATATTATGTTAAAATTAATTTTGAAGTATTGTATCACCTGTTTTTATGTAACAGTACTTTTTTTAGTTCTATGATCTGATATGTTATGATTTGTTAATGTTTGTTTAACAATGTTATACCAAAGAGGTTATACTTAATATACTTATCAATTTGCATAGCCTAACTTTTTTATCAATAAACTTTGTAGATTTTCAGATTATTTAATTCCTTTTGTTTCCGTTTGTAATTTTATTTTTTAAGACATATTATGTGATTGTTTCACATAATATGTTTTAAAAATAAAATTGCAAATAGCGAATAAAAATAATTAAAATAAAAAAGTGTATTTTACAATTCCCCCCGGCCCCGCACCCCTTTGGCTAACCTATAATGTCAGCTATGTCGAGAGATGGCGTTACGAAAATGGAACCGATTTATTACAAGGAACTTGGGCTTCTTTTCGTTAGTATATTCTGTGGACAGTATATAAAGCGCTCCCCCCGATCGGAAGTCAATCAGTTTTTGAATAGAGCTCTTTAATAAGCAAATGGTGGACAAATTGATGATTTGAAGTTCTTCAAAAAGTCATTTGTGTGTTATTAAGTTAGGAATTGGGCCATTATTTCCACAATTCCTTCCAGTTCTCTGTTCCTACTGCTTCAGTTTCGGTAATTAATTGTTACGCTTGTTTGGTTTTGACCCGTTTGACTAGTTTTTGCCCACTCGGAGCCAGCTGAGCGAGTATATAAACGCTGTTTATATTATAGATATTAGTTTAGTTTAGTTTTAATCATCTGCTGATGATGCTAACAAGGTTAGCCAAACACGCGTCCAGTGTAAAAGTAAAAGTGTTTTGGTGCATTGTGCTGATTTACTGTTGTATTTTGCTGTTGTAACACCGAAGGTTCCAACCCCCAATGGTAATATTAATACTTAGCTATGTTTTCATAATTAAAGGATGAAAGAATAAATCCTCGCTAATATTTTGACCAACAAAATACGGATATTACATCTTTTCATCTGGCCAACACTGCAACTTAATCTATCTCTTTCTTACAGCGTGGCCTTCCACTCATTGCGGTCTGTAGAGTATGTTGAAGATTCGCAAAGGCACAAGGTTTACCATCCCATTAGAGATAATACAAAGTAAACCAAACCGCCTTCGCGTAAATCATATGGAGTGCCTTTATGGTAAATTTTATATGGGAATTGCTTGATAATGCAGTAGACCAAAATGATTTTAATACATCTTAGGAAATCTCAATTTTTCAAATCACAATGCAATTTTTGAATTCCATACTTGTTAAACTGAGTTAGGAAGGGACCATAGGCTATGTTTAGGTAGCCTGGTATAGAAAGAACCAAACTGTCAGCAAGGAGTCTCTTGGCATCGAAAGATAAAATATTTTTAAATTCATAAATTGACTTTAGTTTGTAGTATGATCGCTGACAGACATAACTTACATGCTTATTGAATGTCAGTTTGGTGTCCATAATGAGACCAAAATTTTTGACCTCATTAGTCCAATCAACTTTAACATTATTTAGTAAGATATTGTAATTTGTTGGGTCCAGATCATTGCGTGAAAAAAGAATTGCCTGTGTTTTGGTTGGATTTATGAGAAGAGAATTTGCAGATCCAAGTTAATCAGGTCTACATTCACAGGTCTCAGGTCTACATTTTTTGCCTACATTATATGTACGCCACTGCCTTAACATGTATTGACATTCTTGATAGAAATAGAAATAAATAAATATTTCTTAGATATTCATTGAAAATAAAAAAACAACTGACCTGTTGATCCGAATTGGGAAACAGACAGCAGCTCATGTAACTTGTATGGGTTCCAACTGTCTTCTTACGTTGTGATATTTCTTCATCCAATACCAAAGGATATACAGTGACCTTATTATCAAGACCACTGAAAACATAATAAGCTCATTAAATATGCAAAGTTGTTTGTTATAAAAAACCCTACCCACAAGCTACAAAATTGCCAGATGGTGCATAGGCACAAGCCATTACCCAAGTAGTTGGCATTGTAAGTGCATGTTCCTTGTTAGTGGTATGAGCATCCCAAATAATCATTTTGCCATCCTAAAATTACCAACACCTCGAGACTTAAATTCATTTAACGCAAATTATTTTGACATTACCTGAGATGATGAAACTATATGTTTTTTATCTGGAGACCAATCCGAACACAGAACTTTAGCTTGGTGACCTTTAAGCGTACGACGAGGCTTAATATTAGGGCAGCTAACGCAATCTAATCTTTCAGCAACCGCCTCCACTAAAATAATCATCCATATCATTCAAAAAATATATAATAAGTATAAAAATAATCTTACAAGAAATATCATTAAGTTTTTGCCTTTCCTCTTCCAGTCGTTTTTTCAACACTTCTGCTTCTTTTTGTAAGGATTCTACTGTCTCAGAAGATGTAGCTTTACTATCGGCATCCATTTTCACAAATTATTTTTCTTGATTTAAAATAAATCTGTATTATTTAATTAAAATTAGGCTCTTCAGAAATTTGTTTACAAAATCGATAATTATAAAGTGAAGTTAGATACAAAGACAGAGAGGTGAAGTTTGATATAAAAGTGTCAAAGTAGTGGGTTGAGCTGCCAGGGCAATTCGGCTATGTTACACCCAAGTTCACAACCATAGACTATATCGAGGACATATATTATTCTGAAATGAAGAATTTTACTGAATATTACATGGCAGAATAGCCCTGGCAGCTCAGGCCGTTAAACTAAAATACAACTCTACAACTTACGGTTATTTTTGAGAAAGAAGATAAAAGAGTGGGAATTTTGAAAAACTGTTAACTTGTGTTATTACATATTTAATAGACCATTATTAATTTTTAAGTTCTTGGAGATTTATTACATGAATACATATTCAAAATCCAAATTATTGTATTTAAAGTTTAGAATATATATGCTTGATTTTAAAGTAGGCTACAATTGTCCGTTTTTTATGTCAAATTTCAAATCAAATTCTGAATCAAATTAAATGGAACGTCTAAACTAAATTCCCGTCATTAAAAAAAATACAAAAAGAACTTTAAACCTTGTTTAAACTTTTCGGTTTATAATAGTACAGGACTGACTGCCTTTAGATATATTTTTTTTCGAGAAATTTCCCTTTCGTCTTTTGTAATATTAAAGGTACGTCATTTTATAAAGGTTAGACTTTGCCTTTTGTAGTTTGTAGTTAATTATTATTCAACACGAAATCATTACCTCTTATCAGTTCAATATTTGTTTTATTTTAGTTTCGGTTTATCTAGAATTACGAAAATGACTTCACTGGAACAAGAAAAGTTGGCAACTGAAAAATTTATAGAAAATGCTGTGACAAATGAGAGAAATGATCAAAGCAATGGATATAAAAAAACTGAGTCTTCTAAAATCGAATCTGCACATATTCTGAAAGAGAGTGAAGACCAAATTTATGATGGTAACATGCTAGACTGTGTGCTAGACTCTTCCCTATTGAAATCCATCAACAGTGAAGCTGATAGTATTGAAGGATTTGAAGACTTGACATCAAGTAATTTGTCTACCATCGATGCAAAAGAAATAGAATCCAAAGGCAGTTCTGATGAAGAAAAACCTAACACAAATACGTCCAATTTATCAGAAAATTCTTCAAACACCCCAGATATAGAGACAGTTAAAGAGGAATGGTCTGATTTGTTAGGTATAGTGTTAGGTTGATTTGTTTATAATGGCATTATTGTTATCTATATTTTAAAGGATCCGGAGTTATCTTGAAGAAAATAAGGAAAGAGGGTGAACCTGATACTCGCCCCAAAAGATCTGATAGATGTTTTATAAAATACACATGTCGACTGGAAGATGCTGATGAAAATAATTTTGTAGAGCAGTCTGATAATTTTGAAATGTGCCTTGGTGAAGGAGATGTTAGTTAATTTATTTAAATTAGTACTCATTTAGTATAATAGTAATGTTTTTAGGTCATTCAAGGGCTAGATGTTGCTGTTGGCCTAATGAACAAATACGAATGTTGTATTCTAAAAATTCAGTCTCGTTTAGCTTTTGGGGACAAGGGCAGCCTTCCTCTTATTCCTGCCAAAGCTACTGTAGTGTACGATGTGGAACTGCTAGATGTAAAAGATGAAGAGGAGTTTGATAACCTTACCACTGAGGACAGACAAAAAATTGGGTATATATATATATATATATATTTCTTTTTATTTTTTAAGCTTGTTTTAGCTTCAAACTCTCTTATTTTTAGTAATAAAAAGCGAGAAAGAGGTAATTGGTGGTACCAGAGAGGAGAAAACACACTGGCTGTTCAGTGTTATCGCCGTGCATTAGATTTCTTGGATGAAGTAGATATATACACAATATTTTTCAGCTTAAATAGAAAAAAATCTATTATTATTTAGGTTGAAACAGAGAGGGACGCTTACAAGCCCACCGATTCACAGTTGCAAGCCCTTCTAGAAGATCGTCTTAAAGTTTTGAATAATATGGCATCCGCACAGATAAAAATGGAACTCTACGACCAAGCTCTTGTTTCTTTGCAAACAGTTCTAAGGTGTCAGCCGGAAAATGTTAAAGCTTTGTATAGGAAAGCCAAGGTAATATACTTAGGCTTCTTGACCACCAGCATATTGCACCAGTCGGCAGATTTACCCATTGATAAACAATGCAATTAAATTATATACCCTATGATCGAAAAAAAAACGGCGTCCAGCTGGCTTGGAAATGACGATCGATGACCAATTCCCCTGTTTAAATTAAAATAAAACGACGGCGGTTTTCACCGTCGCAAGCACTTTTTTGTCTGATGATATACATGGTGTCCCATTAGTGCGAGGAAGTCTATTATCGCGTTGCTGGCATTGTACATATTCTAAAAATATGTTTTGTATACAGAGTGTCCCAAAAAAAGTTTTAAGTTTTTTAAATTATACTCCCCATTTTTCTGTACATGATTGGATTCAGCATAAAATTCTGCCTATAGTGCACTATTTTTAATTGAAGCACTGTGCTGTGTTGCTATTCACTAAAAAAACTCTATATCCGAAACGTAAAAACTGGAGTGAATATAACTATTAATACTTAGCAAAATAAAACACTAAATCACCACAATACACCAAAACACTTTTACTTTTGCGCTGGACGTCGCTAATCATGTTAGCATCATCTGCTGATGATGCTAACATGATTAGCGACGCGGAATTCGCGTTTTAATCATCGGAAAATAATTAATAAGTTTTAATCATCGCCAAACGCGCGTCCAGTGCAAATGTAAAAGTGTTTTGGTGTATTGTGGTGATTTAGTGTTTTATTTTGCTGTTGTAACACCAAAGGTTCCAACCCCCAACTGTAATATTAATACTTCGCTATGTTTTCCTAAACAACAAGGATAACAGAATAAATCCTCATAGGAAAATTTATAGTATCCTATAAAGACAGGGTATTTTTATAGTATCGTGAAAATCGCTATATTTAAAATGCTATATCTCTATTTTTTAAACGCAACACCCTGTATATTATCTTTCGTTTCGATGCACAATTGAAAAATTAACTTTTTTTTATTTAAAATGATTCTAAATTTAAAGTGATTCTAAATTTTTAGCGGTATCGGAGATATTCGCTGTATTAAGTTGTACGCGCACTGAATCGGTACCAGTCCGGCGAGAAACGGCGAAGGCGGTGACTCGACTATCGTAGATAGGTAGAGGTAGGAATCTGGCCTCTACAGGCCGCTTAAAGGTGTACGCGCACTGAATCGGTACCAGTCCGGCGAAGGCGGTGACTCGACTATCGTACATATAGACGGCGCCGGCGTCCACTAAAACATTTCGGCCTGTAGAGGCCAGATTCCTACCTCTACCTATCTACGATAGTCGAGTCACCGCCTTCGCCGGACAGGTACCGATTCAGTGCGCGTACACCTTTATACCGTATGATCTAAATAATATGTATATATAGGTCTATGAATAAAAACGGCGTCAGCGATGGCTATAAAATGAAGATCGCTGTCATTTTATATGTAAATTCATATGGGAAATGTCATCGGTTGTCATTTCATAGCCATCGCTGACTCAGTTTTTATTCGATCATCCGGTATTACATGGGTTTTTTAATGATAAAATACTAGACAAAGATCATTAGGTGGCTTTGATAAAAATTTACTGTTGGAGGAGACATATATGTAACATATGTAATACTGCGAAACCGCTAAAAATTTAGAAACACTTTAAATACAAAAAATATTGAATGATAAAGTAACACTCCTTTTGCCCTCTTTACTGATGAATGATTCTACTTTTTATTTTACATTTGCGATATTTTCATCCTTTGTACATTGTATCGAATATAGGCACATAAAACTAACTGTGGCAACAATTTTTCCCATTTTGTACCATATTTATACTTACAGCGTTTATGAAGTATGATCGAAAAAAACGGCGTCAGCGATGGCTATGAAATGAAGATTGCTGTCATTTTATATGGAAATTGTCATCGACGTTCATTTCCAAGCCAACTGTATGCCGTTTTTTTTTCGAGCATACGGTATTTACAGCGGCGAATAGAGAAAGACACCGCTACTGCGTGGAAGATTCGCCATCGGCTTTTCTACCGACCCGTAGATAGATTCAATTTAGATCAAAATTATTAAAAATTTAGGAAGATTAATATTAATTAATTTTGAAAAAGTAAACACCTTACAACATTTAAAGAAATACAGCACAACATTTAAAGAAATAACAGAACTATTGTTCATTGTTCTGTTTATTTGTTCATATAATTAAAATTAATTTACTATTGGTTTGAATCTTATTTCTTTCTTTTCAATTTTGATTTCTGTGATGCATTATATTTGATAGATAAAGGAACTAGGCAATTTTAAAATTACCCATATTAATGGTAAAAAATAAGAACCAAGAACAGTGTGTAGCAGAAAGGCTATATATTTGGTTTATTGAATAATATGAGTGAGAATATTGACAGAGTTGTTATTTTACTTTTTTACTATACAATTCCATTCATAACTGAAAAATTAAAAGATTAAACTTTAAAATTAAATTAAAAAATAACCTAAATTACAGTTTAACACTTTTTAAAGATACACTTCCTATTCTAATCATCGAATGTCTGTGACAGAAGAAAATTCGCTGCCAAATTTTCATTTTTTTCACACGCAAAATATGCTTGAACAACTAAATGTTCAGGGAATCCTAAAGCCTTTAATCTTTCAATTGCATCTTTATCTTGTGGCGTTACCTGAATAGGTATACCTCCGGCAGGTATACCTCCAGTGGCTGGAACATTTTGAGGTACTGCCCCAGGGACAGGAAGGGGTGAACTAGTTGGTGGTGTTAACACAGGCGTCGTTCCAGGGGCTGGCTCGTTTAACATTCGTACAAATGATTCTTGATTCTCTGAAATCAGTTGTAATAAAGCTGGATTTGTCTGACCGATCTGCTGAAGCACTGCATTCAACAGCTGAGGATTTTGCTGAATAACATGTCTCATTTGTTGAAACTGGGGCTGAGTTCTCAGAAATGCTAATGGGTCGCCGGCATCTGATTGTGTTTGGTCCACACCTGACATATCGGTGGACTCATTAACCTCTGATTCATCTATTTGGGGTATTCCGGTGATTAAATATTCCACTGCTCGATCTGGATTATTGAAGCTCGCTCTTAGTGCTTGCTCAACCTGATCCCTTGCATATCCCATGTCCATGATATTTCTGACCATATTCTCATAATCTTCTCCCATAAGTAAAGTAGATTCTGCAGAACTACTTAAGTTAATGTTGGTTAAAGCTGCTGGTGCTACTGCAGGGGCAGGTGCGGGAGGGACGACTATGGCTGGTGCAGCATTTGGGGGAACAGCGGGGTTAGGAATTGTTGTTGTGGTTTTTGCGTTACTTGCATTTGAAGGTGTTTCTATATCACCTACATCAACTTTCTCTTGAAGCTTGGGTTTGGTGACCATAACCACTATGAACTTTTTCTCATCAATATTATATTCTGATAACGGGGTATCGTCTGTAAGAATTTTTCCAGCGTATATAAGTCTTTGATTCTCTAATGGGTAATCTCCTCCTTTCTCACTTTCAATTTTTTGCTTCAGTTGTTTTACCGATTGGTTCGGATCTATTTCAACAACAAAACTTTGCTGTTGTAAATTTTTAAGAGTAATCTTCATCGTGTGTCTAATTATTTCTGGTCAATCGCTATTTAACTAAATACTTTGCCTGAATGATAAAGCAAAACTAAAGTCATAGATGACATAAAATTACAGGTTAAAATAAATTTTTGAGGTTAGCTTTGGCTTTAGAAATATTACAAAGGATTATTATTCTGTTGATTTGACATTGACATTATTATAAAAATAAAAATCAATGCATAAAGAAAGAAGGTGACCTAAAGAAAAACAGGCAAAAATTAATTTTCGTTGGTTAAAAAAAAGGTTTTGCCTTAAATTAGTATTGGGGACGTTAATCGATCTTTTGAAAACATCGATATACAATATTTAAAAATCGATATATAAAAAACGGCGTCAGCGATGGCTATGAAATGAAGATCGCTATCGTTTTATATGTAAAATTATATGGGGAATGTCATCGATCGTCATTTCCAAGCCAACTGGACACCGTTTTTTTTTCGATCATACGGTACCTTAATCCCTGATAAACAAGAATAACAGTAAAAACTTGATACCATATTTTTACACACCATTTCTTTTTTTACATATGTCTGTAGATTCATATTGGCAAAAACGATTTGCATCAAGCATTACAACTATTGGAAAAGGCAAAAAGCATTGAACCAAACGACTGCAGTATTTTGAAAGAAATTAATAATGTTAATTCAAGATTACAAAAGCAAAAAAGTTCTGAGAGGGAATACGCTAGGAGAATGTTTGGAGGTCCCCTACCAGCACCGTCAAAGAAGGAATTTGAAAAGAAAGAAGACAAGAAGAAAAATAGTCAGGTAAGTAAAAATTAAGACAGATTGCTTAAAACTGAGTACTACTGAATATTCATTTTAGTTCAGCATTTGGAGTAGTCTGGGAGCCACAGTAATTCTGGGTTTAGCCGGTTTTATTGCCTACAAAATGAAATATACTTAAATAATCCTTTTACAACTTCTATTTTTGCCTTTATCTATAGTTACAGCATTTTAGAACTATACAGGTTTTTCTACTGATGTGTTTATGTTTCTAATTTAACGGAAAACGGTTGAGTTTGTATAGCATTTTTAAAGTTTGTTCTTATCTTTTTTCAAATAAATTTTTGTATATGTTTTTATAGACTAATTTATTTAATATTTACAGTTGCATATTTACTGTTAATGAAGTTGTAGATCTAACCCTTCTACCTTTATTAAAGAACTATTATTACTTAATTATTTTTTTAAGAACACATTAGAGCTACCGTATGATCGAAAAAAAAAGCTTCAGCGATGGCTATGAAATGAAGACTGCTGTCATTTTATATGTAAAATTATATGGGCAATGATATCGATCGTCATTTCATAGCCATCGCTTATGCCGGTTTCTTTCGATCATACAGTATACAGTTTTATATAGTATACAATACGGTATACAATTTCATATAGTATACAATTATTAGATATAAAATCAAACCAAACCAAATCAATTTCTGAATTTTGGTAGGATGAAATCTTGGTTGCATAGTCACACTAAATATCTGTTGTAGAAATACGACTGTATATATTTAAACATATTTGAGACTGTAGGTATATTGTATTCTAGATGTGAAAGATTTTCCATTGAATTAACTCTTTAAACGTATAATACATAGCTAATTCAATAAATATTGTGTAAAAGAAAGACAAAGAAAGAAAACAAGCTATATAATAGCAGATATATATTTAAATTCGTCAACTAACAATAAAAAATCACACAGGTGCTTTGCAATTGTAGTAAAGAACACTGAAATACATATATCTTAAACATCTATTAAATAAATAAACGTAATCTATACCCCGTCTTGTTTTCTTTAAATTTTAAATCTAACACGCGTCTCATTGAGTATGACCCATGATCAGTTTGAAAAAATCAATGTATTTTATATATAATTTTACGGGGCTCAAAAAGTGCGTGATCAATTATTTTTTGGCACTTTTATTAATTATGTTGCCGGTGATTAGAACATTAAATCCAAACAATGTACACAGAAGTACGGCATTTTTATGTAGTTATTTATAAACTTACACACGAGACGACATTAAACAATGGGAAGAAGTGCTTTATAAAAGTTTAATCCGAATTTATTGGTCCAAGAATTTTTTATACATTTTGATTTAAAATGTTGCGTTTTTAAGTTACTTTGTGCTCTCCAGTTATTATTTTTTGTAAGATATACAGAACCACATGAATGAAGTTGTTTGATGTTTCGAATGAAATAAGAGGTAGCAAGCAAATTAAAAAAAACGCTTTTTGATTACGTATTAGGAGGTTCTCGCAATCCCTCGCTGTGTATTGTTTTTCCCGCCATTTTCAGCATGGCTTTGCTTTCAGCATTCCCATCCAGAATGCTTCCACCCTGGAAAATATATTTTTTAATAGAAATATATTAATAAACATATAACATATATATTTAAAACTTTAGGGCAAGGTTTTTTAGAGGGACTAGAGGAAGCAGCAGAAGCCAACATCAGCGACATCGGGAACTTTGCAAAGAGCTGGAAGTGCTTTAACGCAAAGAAAGAATGGGAAGAAGGTTTGGTAAAACAATACAGGGGTATCGCAATGGGCCCAAGGCTCCGAGTGAGGGATCAAATATGATCCCAAACCCCAGCAACCTAACCTAACCTAACCTAGCCACTTTTGCGACGCATCCGGTATATGTATATCTATAGTGCTTTTATTTACTTTAAAACATAATGTAAAGTCTGTCCAACAAGTCAAAGAAGATTTCTACAGATGGCATCCAAAAAATAGCAGAAAATGCAATTTAAGTGGGCATTAAGACGACAAATCCAACTGTTACTGCTATGTATCCCCTCGTTGGACAGGCTATAAGTTGTATTTTATTAACAAAAAGCAATTATACCTTTCCAGTCACTCTTTCACCTCTTTCTTGAGGCGTGGGTGGTGGCTGACCCAAACCCCACACTTCCAAGTGTCTAAACTGAAATTCCTTCGTATGTGACATCTGTTGGTACCCAGCAAAAGTAGTACACGACTCACTAGAGTGCCCTTTACCATATTCCCCATCTAGCCACAGCCCACAGAAATTATGCTGACCTCCCATTGCCTGTAAAAGTAAATTTTATTATTTTTACAATACCCTAAAGAAATCTTGAGCTTACCAATCCATTGGGCATGGTCTGTTGGTGTAAATTCAAATACTGAAAATGCTGGTTGTAGCCAGTCGATGGAAATATTCTCATTCTCGGTGATAGAGTGAATAAGAAACAACTGTCGTCACCGAAAAAGTTGGGCCCCAAAGCCCAATTCGCAGGAGCGAAGCCACCAAATACATACCCGCTACGATCTTCCAACACCATCACTGAAGGACCTTGATTCACTATGCGACCTATAGTTGCAAGTTATTGGATATAGAAAATATTTGACAAAAATATACAGGGTCGCTGTTATGTATGAAAACGGTCGATTATTAGGTAAAATAAACAAAGTGCCGCAAAAAGTTAAATACAAAAATTATAGGGTTGTTAAATGTCTATTGGCGAGTAATAAATTTATGTATACAGGGTTGGTAATAAAGTCGTGGTACATAAGTTTCATTTTTTTTAAATAGAACCCCCTGTATATTATTGCATATTTCAATTCTTCATTCAATTCTAAGCAAAAATTGAGATACACACAATGTACCTCAAACCAACCGTTTCCAAATTACTGACCTTTAACATATCACTTAAACAATTTGATTTAATTAATTTCGATATGTTCAGTTTCATTTAACGATGCCATTGTGCCGAAACTGTGATACTGTTGTAATGGGTTTTTAAATGCCTATTAGCTACTAGCAAATTTAAGTATTATCTCTTTTACAAAATTCCTTTTGAAATAAATTCAATTTAAATATTTTTCGTCATACTATATTGTTATATTATTATAACATAAGCAAAATCAGAATGGAAAAGATGCATATAACGTCCGCCGGACGTTATCATAACGGCCGGCGGCCGTTAAGTTTCTAAGGTAATCGTAACGTCTGTCACCTGCAACAATGACTATTTATTGTCAGTTGGACTTTTCAAAAATTGGGAAAATAGACCATAGCGAGATGTCGCGAGAAATTCCGTTGGAAATACAGGAGGAAGCGGCTGCGGCTACTCAAAATTTACTTCCGACTATAACCAGAGAGAGATATCAGCAGGAATATGACAATTTTTTTTGAAGTGGCGGCAGGATAGAAGTATAAACAGCGTAAATGAAGCGGTATTGCTGGCTTATGCTAAAAGAATGTCTGAAATGTATTCTTCTACATCACTGTGGACAAAGATATCCATGCTGAAGCTTGCGTTGAGAGTATATGAAAACATCGACATATCAAGGTAAAAAGCCATTATATTCTTCGATATTTAATCATACTCATCTAAATTATATTTGTTCATAGATTTGGTAAACTGTTCATGTTTCTGAGGCGCAAAAACGAAGGTTATTCACCAAAAAGCCAAAGTTCTGTCGGAGAATGACATAAATAATTTTCTACTGGATGCCGATGATTACACCTGGTTACTCGAAAAAATTGTATTGGTGCTTGGTATTCTTGGAGCTTGTAGGCGCAGCGAGCTTTGGTCACTCACAGTTGATGATTTCGAAGATTCGGAGAAAAATATTCTTGTCTCATTAAGAAATACTAAAAATAAGAAAGATAGGAAATTTCTTATTCCAAAAACGGGCCTTCCGTTTGATGCCTATGGTTTATACAAAAATACATCAACCTGCGTCCTCGTAACTTTGACAATCCAAAATTTTTCATTGGTTACAAGAAAGGCAAGTGTGTTAAGCAAATCGTCGGTATACATACCATCGGGAGCGTACCGCAGAAAATTGCAAAATTTTTGAACTTGGAGAATCCAGAACGTTATACAGGGCATTCATTTCGTAGATCATCAGCAACCATGCTCGCCGAAAATGGTGGTGATTTACTATCGCTAAAGGAGCTAGGAGGATGGGAGTCTTCAACAGTGGCAGAAACTTACATAGAAAAATCAGTTTCCAAAGAATGAAAATAACAAATCAACTTTTTCATGATAGCTCCAAAAATAATGTGTCTTTAGTGGATACAAATATTTGCCATTCTTCAGTAGCATCATCTTCTTCTATAAAATCTGTAAATCCCTGGGAAGGATTACAGATTTCTAAGAACAACAAGTGCACTTTTAATTTCCATGTTCATTATCATGAAAAATGAATTTTAGTATAAGACATTATGTATTTTTTATCCTTACTTGTGTTATTGTTCAATAAAATTTGTTATTAAATAGTAGTGTTTATTGCTCTAAAAAATCTGCAGTATGACGAAAAATCTAGAACGCAACACGGCCGATAACAAATAACGGCCTTGGCTGCTTATGATCCTCGGCTATCGCCTCGGATCACAAACTTCAGCCCGGCCGTTATTTGTTGTTTATCGGCCTTATTACGTTAATAACTATAAACTTCTGACGACTTTATTACTAAAACGTCAATATATTATCACCTGTAAACAAACAATCTACTGTTATAGAGATCGATTGTTATATATCTCTAACAGATCGGCCAACCTGACACTCGATCGCCCCGATCGATAACAAATAACAATAGATTTATAGTAAAATTAGAAACATAATAATGACATAATATACATAATAATGCCATAAGAAACATAACAATGACATAAAGAACATAAGAAATTCATAATAATACAATAAGCTAGCAATAGGATCATAATACATAATTAACATAATGATGATACATAATTAACATAACTATGATACATAATGAGCATAATGATGATACATAATTAACATAATGATGATACATAATTATCATAATGATGATGCATAATTACCATAATGATGATACATAATTAACATAACGATGATACATAATTAACATAATGATGATACATAATTAACATAACAATGATACATAATTAACATAACAATGATACATAATTAGCATAATGATACATAATTAGCATAATGATGATACATAATTACCATAATGATGATACATAATAAATCATAAACTATCTGAATTGTCTCCAAGAATTTAAGTATTCTCTTCTATAATCATACCAATGGTATGCTGCTCCAGTTAAATGAAAACGCGCAGTTTCCAACATAAATGCTGGAGGCTAGTTATGGAGTTGTGCGGCACTTTCTATACTTTTTAACCAAAATTTACTTTTCTTCAAATCAATACCGTCGAGAAATGGAATGGATTTCGAAAAATCAGGCATATTATAATTTGGAACATCCCGTTGTTGATTTTGACGGTCGTTCATCATTTGCAGTATAATGGCATTTTGTTGGATTATAGCCTGCATCGTATCCAGTACAGTATTTAGATTCACAGGCTCACCCTGTCGTGTCTGTGTATTCATACTAATAGGCAGCTCTACTTAACTTCGGTAAACATTTTCAAAATTTGACTCCAGTACAGGATTTGGGCTAATTTCACTATCCTGTTCACTCATACTTCTCATAAAAGAACGTCGGACGATTATTCCACTTCTGAATTTGTTATCTCTTTTACAAAATTTCTTTTGGAAATAAATTCAATTTAAATATTTAAACTTCTGACAACTTTATTACTAAAACGTCAATATAATATTTTCACCTGTAAACAAACAATCTACTGTTATAGAGATCGATTGTTATATATCTCTAACAGTATACAGGGTCGATCATAAAGTTGTGGACATCAAATTTTGTTTTAAATGAAACCCTCTGTATATTATTGCATATTTCAATTCTTCCTTCAGTTTTAAGCAATAATCGTAATACACAATCTACATACATTGAAGAATTGAAATGTCAAACAAGAATTTTGTAATTTCTAGACTTGATATAATCTCATTTTATACATCTCTAAATGCTAACTTGAGAACTAATGTCAAATTTTTTAAGTTTAAAGTATCACAGTTTCGGCAGAATGGCATCTTAAAATGAAACTGAATATATCGAAATTAATTAAATCAAATAGTTTACGTAATATTTTCAAAAGTCAATAACTCGGAATCGGTTGGTTTGAGGTACGTTGTGTATTTAAATTTTTGCTAAGAATTGAAGGAAGAATTGAAATATGCAGTAATATCCAGGGGTTCTATTAAAAAAAAAGAAACTTATGTGCCACGACTTTAAGACCGACCCAGTATACTTAAATTTATTACTCGCTAATAGATATTTAAAAATCCTATAACTTATATTTAACTTTTTGCGGCACCTATTAATATTTCACCCATAATTGACCGTTTCCATACATAACAGCGACGCTATATATTTCTTATATTATCTAACCTATCAAGGTTGAAAATGACTCTCCATGTATCTCAGAACTAAACAAGAACCTCCACTCAACTTGGTACTGCTGTGGCAAATGAGCATTGACAAATACAATCTGATTCAAATCCAAAATACTTGGATATGAAGGAATCAAATCTAAACCTCGACAATATGGTACCAAAGATCTTTCTCTAGGACCTTCATTTTCATTTGTAGCCTGCTCTGACTCTACCGAACTTGGTTGTTTTTCATTTACGATCGCAGATTTGTCCTAAAATTACTTTATTACATAAAACAAACAAAAAGCTGTTGTATCCTATGAGAAATACCTTATGAGAAATATTATATAAATGCATAAAGACAAATAGTAAGAGCTGTCCAAGTACAGTGCTACCCTGCAACCAAGTTTCTAAAGACCTTCTTGATATGGCATTATTACCTAAAACTAAAATTGATTTTTAATTATATATCTACTAGTACTTTTTAAGTACTTACCAGCTAAATCTCTTGTTAGACTTTCTGCCAGACGCTGAGAATTCTGAGTGTGAGTATTGCATCCTCTATTAGCCCAACTTTTATACTGTTTTGAGTTACTCAGTCTCTGTATTTTCATGTAAGAACTTACAATAGCTTCTACATACTAAAAAATCAATATAACACTAATAATAAAAAAGACATACAAAATGTTATTAACTTTACCTCCTTTACAAGGCTGTAAGGAATATCGTTGCATTCCTCTTCAGTTTTTCCTAAAGAAGTCAGAAGAACCTTCACTTTTTCATCCACAGTACCTCTAGTACAGAACACAAATAATTCAGCAAATCTTTCTAAATCGACTGTAACAATTTTTTGCTCCCCTCGTCCAAATAGATAATTATTGATGTACTGAAGTAAACGGGGATCCATTTGAGAGCCCCACAGTTTCTGTTTTTAAGAAAAAAAAACAGTTTAAAAAAGAATAAGGCAGAGGTATAAATTAAACTTACTGTAATTTCATCTTCTTTGATTTTTTCTGAGTTTTTACTTGCCAGCTTAAAAGAATTGCTAACAATAAGCTGTTCATCTTTAGAAAGGAAAGAGCATTTTGCAGCCAACTTTTTGCTACTATTAACACCCATTTTTATATAAATCACAATCTCATCACTGAAGAATACAGCCACTGTACTTTGGAGAACATATGTTAAGTTTCTTTTTCAGCTATCCTAAAATATGATATAATGAAACTACGGTAGGTAAATGAGCGCAAATCGTTTATTACTTAGGAATTATGAAATTATTATCCAAACGTTGTTTATTTGTCACTCTTTTAAAGAGAGAAAATATAAACTATATCTTGAGGAATATTAATAACTCAAGACTGCAGACGCACATAATAATAAAAACTAACGAACCCAGGAAACAATCGTTTTTCTTCGTAAAATCTAAAAATAATTTAAAGGAACACTTTCAATCGATATTCTCGCTGATATTTCTAAGGTTAGCTAAATCGTGATCTGAATTCGTCATGGAAAAAAGCGGTTTAATCCATCTAGATTTCTCTGACCTTATTCGGGCAGGTATTTCTTGTGTAATCTCGCTCTGATTGCGTATTATGGTATTATTTCATTATCACTTTTCTTGTTTGATGTTTGATTATTTGGATTTTGATAACAAGTGATACAAATCAATTTTGCAAAATATTTTCAATTTGACGTATAATTGGTTGCCTAAAATTTATTTATTTTCTACAGCGACATCTGTTATGAAACTCTAGAATGGTAGAACCATATCGAATTATACAGGATGTTTCTAAAAACATATGCCATCTCTCGTGGTAAGATTCCTTACATAAAAATAAGATTTATTTTTTATATCCATCCCTAGATTCCCTAGAGGCAGGGGTGGTCAACAAGTCGATCGCGAAGCCAATTTTGGTCGATCGCCGCAAAAATCTCAAAAGCAGCGGCGGATACAGAGGGAGCCCATGGGGCTCTAGCCCCCCTGAAATTTGTAAATTGGGTTAAATATTAAGCTTTTTGGTTAAAAATAGCGCAATAAAAAGCAATTAAGCGCCTAAAAGCAATATTACTTTTGATTTAGTCCACCCTTAAATAAATTCCTGTATACGCCCAGATTCCAGGATTTTGAAAAAATTTAAGAAATTACGGAATGTATACCTTCTCCTTTAAAAAAAGTTTTAATTGTAAATACATTAGCTAAAAAAATTAAGATATTTCATATGGATGAAAAGGCATTAGAAAATGAAATTAAAAACTTCATTTAATCTTGCCAAAGAAATATGTGCAGCGAGAAAATGTTCCAGTAAATATTATTAATTACTAAGTATCCTCGTTCTTTTAATTATATACCCTTGACGTGAGTTTTTTGGCGCTTTAAATAATTATTGTTGTTGTATTTCAGAACGAGGTGCATACAGCGAGCTATTTGATATACATATTAGAAAAAAGTAAGTTGCATATTATTTTTTCATGATAAATTTTCCTGACCAAAAGACCAACTTGAAATATTGTAATCAAATTATCAGCCATACTGTTCCTATTTATAATAACTTTTTCATATTTATAAACAAATTGTATAATAACTTATACATTGTATAGTGGATAAAAAATTAAAATTTCATTTTAAGTAAGTACTCATCTACATCTTTAATATTAAAAAAGTATCGGAAAATCGAATTTTTTAGGTACCACAGACATGTACGGAATGCTACTATCAAAGTTAGGTCTGGAAATTTAATTTCTTCATGAGCCTATATGTTAAATACTTAATAATAAATAATTAAAAAATAAATTAAAAATTGGCGCCGGGAAGCACGTATAGCCGCCCATACTAAAATATGTAAATATGTTAATAAAAAGTTGGTAGGCAGTTCTTTTCGTTTCAAAGAAAAGGAATTTTTCCAATTTTGGTCCGCGGTTATTTCTCCTATTCGCCACCTGTGGTCGCGTCCGATGGGAAAACGGACTACGGAAACACTGATTTTGATGTTATTACAAATTTTGTTGCAAATTTTATTCCTAATCTTAAATTGAAAACCGCGTTTCGCTAGCTACTGCAATTTTGGAGTTACGATTTTTTTAAATGTTTAACCCCCTCCCATACCCCCTTACCAACCCCCCACCCCCACCAAAAACTAATGGCCAGATTCTCGGCTGCCACAGTATTTTTGTGCCAAATTTGGTTAAAACCGGTGTAGCGGTTTTTGAGTTATCTTGTTATACAGACGGGCAGACAGACAGACAGACACCATGAAAATATTTTGTATTTAGGTTATTTATGACCCAAATAACTGACTTTGAGTGAAATTAAAAAAACTTTTCTTTTGCCGATCTTAATAGCCTACCATACCTATGGGTATGGTCGGCTAAAAAATAGAAAATAGTTTTGAAAATATATCTACCCATTTATCTAGCAGGAATACACCTTCTGCTGAAACACGGTGTATAAACATTGTATACATTTCATACCCCATCCTCCCCCTTAGACTACGCCTATGACAAGTCGATCGCGACACGCTTTTAAGATAAAAGTAGATCTTATATACAGAAAAGTTGGCCACCCCCCGTTAAGTTATTTTCTATGGCCACCCCTGTGCCCTAGAGAATAGGTACTGATGCTCTAATAATAAAATTTAGTGATTTTGGGAATACAAATTACAAATACCCAGAAATTGTCAGTATTAATATTGGATTGAACTTCCAGGGTAAAACTAGCGTATTTTATCATTAAGTATTAAGGAGGTTTTCTGCTTGCTTCTCCGCTTTCACTAGAAAGGCAAAATTCACTGAAATAATTAGAATAAAGTTTTTCTCGGTAAAGGTTCACACTACTGGAGTTTTGCGAAAAAGATCAGACTACCTAGGAATGTCCTGTAGGGCTAGTTGAATTTACACTACCAATTATGTATATGAACCTTTGATATAAACTGTGAATAAAATATATGACAAGGTTAACGGATTTCTTGAATCAGTCAATATCCTTGAAATAGTTTTAGGTGCTAAAGGCGAGTACGTGTGATTTTGAATGTTCTTCGTTCTTAGCAGGTTCGTAGCCAATGGTTTTTACTGTTTTTAGCATAGAATATATACCATGTATTCCAAAAAAAACGGCGTCAAGGACGGTTGGTGAATGACAATCCATGATAATTTTGGCCGGGTCATTTTCTAGATGTCATTTACTAAAAATTGACATAAAACTTGTCAACAATTAACACTAATTATAGAATTAAAATATGAAAAAAGGATAGAACGTTTCCAGACACATAAATTTTCAAAAAAAATATTTTACCTCTAGAATTTTAAACTACATTGCAGTTTTTAAACATCGTTTTTACTCAATATAAAAATAAATTACAGCCTTCTTCAGGACAACCGGAACTAAAAGCGCCATTAAAAACTAAGGAAGAGTCTTTGACGTCGTTTTTTCTCGTACGTTGCGTAGCTATCACAGGTAGTTAGCTACTTATTTGTATTACACAGTGATGGGCAAATACCCGGTATATTGAAATTTTGGCAAATACCCACGGTCTTGCCCCATACTTACTTTGTTAATTTAAGGTACTCTAACAAATTTTAACAATTTGTTGTTAAATTCGGTATTAAAGAAATAAATTTAAAAAAAACACGGCGACGCGACGGGGCAATTTAGTTAAATACCCTAATTTTAAAAGAGGATTCCCCGACGACCGCATCTTAAATACCTACAATGGCTACAATATTTCTGAGCGCTTCCCAAATGTTGGGTATATACCCGTTATGTATCCAGCCGTTAGGTATCTACCCGTTAGGTATCTACCCGTTAGGTATCTACCCGTTAGGTATCTACCCACCGTCCATCACTTCCTATACATATTATGTTCTCTGTTCTTAATATATCAGCTTTGATCATTAATACTTAAACCGAGTGTGTATAAAAAGTGGCTCAACCCTATAAGTGTAAAAGTAAAGTGTTTTGGTGTGTATTGTGGTGATTTAGTGTTTTATTTTGCTGTGTAACACCAAAGGTTCCAACCTCCAACTGTAATAATGTCATTCTATTCAGAGTGTCATTTTCTATCGAATAAAGTAAAAAAAATACCGAGGGTGTCATTTAAAAATCAAAAGTTGTAGTAATTTCTGGTGAAACAGGAAGTGACCAAATACAATTGAATACGTCTATCAATCTGATACATATACTAACCTATATATCCTTGATACTAACATACCAAATCTCGTTTTTTTATCTGAAAAAATAAAAAAAGTTATAGAGATGAGCCACTTTTGAGACGCACCCGGTATAGACAATGGTATATTACTAGGTTATCAGTGGTATCAATTAGTATTTGATTATTATAATAATATCCTTGTTTATATATTCTTATACAATGATAATATGTATACGGAAAAATAGATAACCTATATCACACCTAAATTTTGCAAATAAAAGATCCTTAATCAAAACATTATGAAGTGTGATTTAATAATTATGACTAAAGCAGTATTATATTCTTTACTTACGAAAGTTTTTCATTAGTTTAGAGATAACGCAACATAAATATCCGTAATATGGGTGGTCTAATCAGAGGTCTAACTCTAACTACCGAAAATGGTAAAAAAAATGTTGGTCATGGGACTACTTGATTTTCTTCACGTATTTATATAGACTAGAAACAATATTAGTTTCTTATAACTTAAGTAAGTAAAGTAAAAGAGACACATTCTTGAGTGCCTACCTATGGAAGCTATGTTATATTAAAAATTAAAAGTGGCATCTATGCGGTTACTATAATTTTGTATAAAAACATTTCTGAAACTTTTTGCTTTAAGATTTTAAGAATTAGAAAAATGGTAGGACAAAAAAAAATGATAGTACGTATATTATGTCCCCGGATTGTCTTTACAAACGGAATCACTTTTTATTAATGAAATTTTTGAGATAAATGAATTCTTCATAAAAATCTTTGCTTGTTCTAGAATGGTTAATCCTATTTATACTTTTCCAAATTTTTCAAAAAAAACATGACAATATGGTTGAATTTTGAAGTCCTGAAAATTAAAAGGCGTTTCTATGGTAATATAATTTCGATTTCATTCTTTGATAGATATGGTTATGGGGGATTCTTGTGATTAATTTATATAACGTCATACTATACTTTTTACAGTTGTTAAAGTATCAAATTTTCCGATAACTATTATCACCCTTTCCGTAGCATTGAACTAAATAAATTTTGTGCTTTTTAACATTTTAAAACAGCAAAAAATATGACGTTAATTAAAGTTCTATCAATAACAATCTATCAAAGAATGAAAACGAAATTATATTAGGTATAAGCACATTAATAAACTACAACCTAAAATTTTGACCAAGTTTGATGTTTCATAACTTTTGAATTTGTAATCCAATTTTTAAGATTATGGTATTAGCTTGTAGATAAATTTGTTGGCAATATTTTTTTTATTATTTTTATAGCTAAACCATAATAATGCGTTTTGATTTTTAGAGTTCAACAACATATATATATATATATATATATATATATATATATATATATATATATATATATATATATATATATATATATATATATATATATATATATATATATATATATATATATATATATATATATATATATATTTTATTTATCTTTAAAACGGGATGGAAATTTTGAAAAGTATAAACGAGATTAACCTCAGGATTA